GATGTGGGAGAAGGAAGGAGGGAGTCTGAGAAGGAGGATGATGTGGGAGAAGGAAGGAGGGAGTCTGAGAAGGAGGATGATGTGGGAGAAGGAAGGAGGGAGTCTGAAGAGGAGGAGGATGTGGGAGAAGGAAGGAGGGAGTCGGAGGATGTGGGAGAAGGAAGGAGGGAGGAAGAATCTGCTGAGTGGCAGACATTCTCTCACTGAAAGGGCAAAAGTTCACAATGAAGTTAGGCCAGCTGTGCTTAAAACTGAATTTACTCTGCTTACTTTCCCTAATCCTGACTCAAAGCAATGTTGGTTTGTCTATATCAAATCTCTTACACATCATAACAAAACAAAGCAGCAACAACATCGTAATGAGGGGGGGGAGGAAGGGGGGAGGTAAAAAATGTTTGTTTTTTAATAATAATAATAATAATAATAAGGATTGAAGATTTTTTAGAGGACAATGTACCCCTTTCGCCGACTTAATGAGGAATTCCGCGGTAAGTTGTCAATCTTACGCTTTTTTTAGACCCTCTTAAAATGATGGTAATTTACAATACTGATCTGTATTCAGGAGTTTTATAACCATTTTTTCTCCCTTAAAATGTCTCAATGTCCGAATATTGTTTCCACTTGCAGCTTACAGAAACTCATCACTTACCTAATTTTCTCCTCAACCAAAGCACAACTCTTTCATAATAAGCGATGCTTGCCCTCAAATTTCCCAAGCAATGGTATGCGTTAGCAATGCTCGCATCGGCCTTCGACACGCTGTTACCATCCTTTAAACTCTCGGAAATCTTTCGCCTTTCTAACTGATAATAAATGGCACCTTCAAAGTCTTGCTGCATCTCACAGATGTTTCCGAGATTATTGTACATCCTCGCTTGACAACTTTTGTCATGTAACTCTTCAGAAATCGCTAGACCACTTTCAAAATACTCTACGGCTTTTTCAATATCCCCAAGCCTCTTGTAAACACATCCAAGGTTGCAGTAAGCTCTTTGCAAACGAAGTAACGAACGTTGTCGTTTAACCAGACTAAAATACTGCGCGTAGTAATCTTTGGCAGCAGGGAACTTGCATAGTTTATAGTGAGCGTGACCTAACTCAAGCAATAACTTTTCCTTCTCAGGTTTATTGCACCGATGCTTTGCTAACTGTTTCTTTAGATCTTCTATCAGCTCTCCTAGATCTTCTTTGGTGTACGAAGCAACTTTAATCTCTTCAACATCTTCCCCTTGTAAAATCTCGTTGAGCTGTTCTTTGGCCGATTCTTCTCCATCGACAACAATTTCATTGACATTCAAAATCTCTTTATCTTCAGTCTTTTTCGAAGAGAAACTTTTTCTCCATTTTCTTAGCCTCGAACAGATACTGGATCCCATAATTTTTATGCGGTAATAAATATTAAATTTACTAGACCTCGCTCTCGTTAAACATTTCCTTTGCATAAAATGATTATCTTATAAGCTAGCCACCTGTTACTCGACAAATACGTATGCGATTTGTAAAAATACATTTGTATGTCAGGCAGATTATGAACACAGTTTTTGCACATTCTAGCCAGCTCAAGTGAAAATATCTCTCGGCTCTTACTCTCAACCAAAACAAAAGGTATATTTATAGTTAAAAATTATGTCGACGACAAAAATATACGTACACATGCATTCCCACTTCTAAGCTCACCCCCACAAAAAATTGCAAATGCATATGAAAGAAAATAATCCTTTCCTGTTTGGCTTTCAGCGACATAATTTGCCTGACAGTCCGATATAGAAACCAATTATGCGAAACAGTATAATTATATTGGATCTAGAAATTTGACTAAAAATTGTCTCCATGTCGTGGTTGTTCATGCAATAAGATTATTGCAACATTTGGTCACATGAGCAATACTTGCGGAACTTGGCTTCGGAGTTGTATAAATTCCTGAAAGGCAAAGAAAGTTAAAATGTTTCATTTAGTCAACATAGTCATCGGAGATCGAGATCATTGCTTAAAACATTGTCCATCGTTCTGTTCTGCAGAACTCAGTCAAACATCTTTAGTTATATGAGGTAGAATAAGCGAGCAAGAGTGGACCGTTTTAGTTTACAAGTTGCAATAAAAGAATTTTGCAGCAGCTTGAATAATAAGCAAATTTCAAAGAGTTGTGTATAAATCAGTGGAGGGGAGACGTCCAAGCCTTATGGCACAGAGGGATTTTAAAAGATTAAGGTATGGTGCATAAATCAGTCAAACGTGACTTGTACATGTTTATAGATTTTGACGTCTCACTAAAATGAATTTTGTTTGGCAGCATGTTTTAGGTCGTTTATAGATATGTCGAGCAAATACGCTGGCTTGTCACGCAAATAACATTTCCAAAAGAATATACACGTAATTATAGCACCATCGTGAGACATAAACGACGCGTTACAAGTATAATAAAACAATTGCTAAATACGATAGATTTCCACCCACGATCCGCTATTCCAGTACGGGTTTCAAACTTAATCTGGTCTTGTCTCTAGAACGCATTTTAATTTCAAAGTCAACAGTTCTTTCAACAAAAAAGAAATTTTATGGCGCTATCATTTTGAAACTATGTTGTTCGAATTCTCAGCACGAAAACTCTTTATCGGAGCCACTTACGAAATTATTCCATTAACAGCGTTGTGTGTGTGTGTGGACAGGGGTTAGAAAAATAGGAGTCAACAAAAGTTCACTGTCACCCAAGGAGAAGTTAACCACTCAGTCTTTCAATTAGTTCCAGGTCATTGATCCTTTAATATCATAATGATTGCATGTACATGTACATGCATGTATTAAGGGTTGCCTGAGAGAGGCACAATCACTAAAAAATCTATAGGAAAATTATATTGAATAAATGAACCTCTTCATAGTAAGTAGAAATTATTTATAATTACCTCCCCCTTTTCTGCAGGACTGGCTGAAATTTGCATGAAGTGGTTGTGAGCGCAATCAGTTCATATTGCTTCTTATTTCATGCAGAGACAACATCCAATCCTATCGAGTACGTTGCCTTTCTTTGTAAGCTAATTTTGTCAACTTCTTGATGAGGATGATGAACTGTTTTAGACAAGGATGCATATAACAGTGTGAACTGATAAATCAATGGGCCTCAACAAAAAAAAATGTATTGAACAGTCAACATTGAATAAAACTATACACAGTCAAACCTGGATCATGTGGACTCGTGGGGACTGGGCTGACTAATCGAAAAACTCAGACAGTTGAAGTCTGGATAGTCGAGGTTCAACGTTAACTGTACTTGTAAGATCATCAGATTTAAATTGTTTGCTTCAATTCTCTTCTTCTTTTCTTTATAGAGATGATGGTGTTTTAGTGAGAGTCGGGGTAGCCATTACATAGGGTACATTTTGGCAGGTATATGACTTTATATTATTCTAATGCAATAGTACAACTGGCGGGCTGGCTGGTCTTGAGGTTATGGACAACTTTCCCGCTTCTCCGAGTTTCCAACTCACTTCAACTTTGTCAGTAAGTCTCAGACTGCCCGGGGTGGAAATGTCAGTAATTGCGAAGAAAATCTCCACTCTATGTGATAAGGATATCAGTGACATACTCAACTGCACCTAATGTGAGCAACTCTTTTGCCCCTTGTAGTGTATTGAGAACATAGTAAAAGTACTTGTACTGATGTTAGTGATATTACTGTAAGATTACTGAATAATGTGAAAGGACTGTTATCAAGTAAGACTATTGTACTAGCTTATAAGACACTTGATCAATGAATAAAGACAGAATATAGTAAGCAACTGAAGAGTGTGCGTTTACTAAATATTTCCTAATGGATGCACAACAACATGGAATCTACTTGTTATGATTATTTTATGCACACTCTCGTACCTTTTTGTTTGATTTCTTCACATGTTGGTATGTTTTCTATTGGTCATCCAAGGTCATCTAGCACTGTGCTTCGTTATCAATGGTTATGTGATGGGGGCTTCCTTCTTCTTCTGCCCTATAAGATAGTGTTGTTTGGTTTGGAAAAAGGTAATGAAGCTGACGCAAATGCTGAAAGTAACTTAAAAAGACTGACAATGAAATATCTAAATGCGGAAAAACTAGATATTTGTTAAATCATCTGATTTTTTTGCAATTTGTGTTAAAATTTTTGTTGCTACTCACCCAAACTGAGTTTTCTTTTCTGTTGTGATTCTTTTACTAAATACTTTCTGTGGAAAAAGATGAAACTGTTCATAATTTGACTAGTTATTGTCAAACAGTCCAAATTTCGGATGAGCACTTTTTTTTAATTGTTTTAACTTAAAAGTCAGTAAGATAACATTTTTGTCGACACCTAATAGTCTACACTGGGTGGGATGCCATTCCATTGCAAGGTAACCCCTGGGCAGCATTTCATATGCTACCCTGACTATTCCCTGATACCTAATTACACCCTAGGGAGGAGATAAGCATTGTCAGGATAAAGTATTTTGCGCAAGATGACACAATTAGTCGACCAGGTTTACTGACCTGGAGTCCGGCATACTGACCGTAGGGCTGCTGCCTCTCCTTTATAATTAAACATGTAACATGACACTAATTTTCCGCGCAGGGAGTTAAAAATCTTCTAAAAATGCTTCTTTTGGTGTACAAATGTTTATCGCGATGCACATGTTCCTTAATATTCTTTATCTGTACCAAGGGTGAGCAAGATCTTGAGGACATGATTGTCAACTGGAAATTGACACCAATCGATAAAATGCTATTGAAAACATTGGTAATTATAAGCGTTGACAATTTGCATATTTTCAAGACTTGATGAGTCCAATAAAACACCAAAAGTAATAAAGAACATCTCTAAATGACATTCCTTTGGTCCACACCACATTAAGTATTTATTGCTTTTTTTCAATTAATTGATAAATTATCATGCCTAAAGTTAAGTTAATTTGGTATACTATACAATTATATTAAATCGTAATCGGGATAAGATCTAAGTAGCAAAACCTTACATTGGTCCTTTCGTTTGGCCATCTTACAAAACAAGGAGGTGGATTTTCTTTGTCTTGTTAAAAAAACCTCTCATTAGGAATTTTATTCCTGTAGTATCCCTTTCTCGTCTGCTGTATAAGCATTTTCATGATAAAATGAGGAATTCCGTGATCCAATTCCGCTGTCAAAATGTTTCCCATGCGATTTTTCGTTCCGATCATTTCCATCAATGTCCTCGTCCTTCTCGTAACTGTCCAGTAAAATCTGTTTCTCTGGGGACGCCGTTCTCTGATATTTTACCCGAGCTATCGTCAGGGTCTTCAATTTTACTCAAACAAGTCAAAATACTTTCAAAAGCCTCAAGGTGCTTGCAGATCTCGTCCAAAGCTCCGGAACGATTCTTCAGGTGTTCCAGGGAAACTTCATGGGAATTAGTCTCTCGAGCGAGCCTCTCTGTGACTGCTTCTGAAGATTCAAGTTTCTATCTTAGTTCTTGTATCTATTCATCTTTTTATATCAATGTTTGATTAGCTCAGAATTTACCAAAAATGATACAAATAATCACCATAACAATTATTTCTTAAAGAGCAGCTTCTTTTAAATCATAATTAGCCGGCGCAAGAACAACACTACGCATTCTACCCTCCACCAAATTTATATTAGTTCAGGTCCTTAAACTTACACCAATTCGTGGCTAAGCGACGTTTTCTTCCTTAATAACATTCAAAATGAAACCTATATACGCCTGATAAATTTTAGAGAGCATTTTAAGAGTGACTCTACCTAAGCACCACGTGAGAGGCGGCACAAGGTCTGTAAAATGGACCCTCGATATTTCGTCCAGAGATAGCCTATAGTATGCTAAGAATCGTGATAAAAGTTTCAGGTTCTAGAGTTTTTACATTTTTGAGAAAATTACGAAAAACCGTTGACCACCCGTGAAGCCGAAAAATCACAGAAATGAGGTCAAATTGCATGATCAGAAAATCGAACTCGCGTGAAGGCGCAAAGCAAATTGTGGTTTTTCTTAGTTTATAATTTATTAAGGAGGTATTTCTAAGCTGCCTTGATGATATTTTAGACTTACAATAGTAATCTCGAATTCCTGGAAAGCAAGCGAAGAGAACCGAAATTACTAGACTCTGAAAATCAAAAATTCCATACCGTTTTCAAACATTTCAAAACATACTCGGTATTATGTAGAATTCTTTCAAAATTAAATTCTAGAGAGTACAAGAGCTTTTTTTGTACGTGAAATAATTTTTTTCTTGGCAAAAGTTATTTCTGAGGCGAGCGACCCCATGTAAGTTGACCCAATTTGACCTTTCGAAGAGATTTTGTTTCAGCAGGAATTGTAAACAATTCGACTAACCTTAGCTCGCTTTCAGTGCAAACCATTGAAACACCCTGCCATTTCCCATTAAA